CTGTACACAATATATGGCAACTCCTCTGTATCCATAAAATTCAATCGAAGTACAAATTTATATGTTTTCAAATTTCCAAATGCAAGGAGGTAATGAGTGGGGAGAATGATCCAAATAATAGTCTTATCATTTTATTAGCAAAGATTTGCTGCGGTGAGAAAGATCTTTGGCAACTATGACTGTTTCTTCATGATAAAGCTAAATTCAAGTATGAAAATATTTAATAATCAAGCAAAGGGAACATGAGAAGCAAAGCCTGGATTTGAGATGCCATTGACGATGACAAGCACCTCTAGCCTCTGGGAGGCATTGAAATTCATTATAGCCATCAATTGTTTTTAAATTGTAATTCTTTTTTAAAAAGGAGAAATAATTTCCCTGAAGCAGTGATTGCAAAATGTCTACTTTTGGTTTTGATCAGAAATATATTTTGTAAAAATTTCTCAAGGTTAATGTTTATTTCTTTTAAAAGAGATTTTCAAATACATATATCTATATTTATTTGGGAAGCAGTAAGAGAAACAGTCAAAGGTATTCCATTCATTGGTTCATTCTCCTAATGTCCACAGCAGTCAGGCTTGAGTCAAGTTGAAGGCCACAGCCAGGAAATCAATCCAGGTCTCACGTGGGTAGCCGAGAACCGAGTCCTTGAACTAGCACCTGTTGTGTCCCAGGGAGCACACCGGCAGGAAGCTGGGATCAGAAGTGGAACTGGAACCCAAAGCAGGCACTCCAATATCAGATGCAGGCATCCCAAGCGGCATCCGTTAGAAAACAATTGGTTGAGTAGTGCTGTCTGGAGCCTGCCAGCCATGGTCTCTGCCACCAGCGACGCCACTGTCACAGTCGCTGTGACCCATTACCAAGCATAAACCATTGTAGGGGCGCTTGGAGCAGCCGGGGTGCCAGACACGCTGACCAAAGTGTGATTAGTAGTCTAATATGAAGAATTAGAGAAACCTAGTAATGCTTTGGGCGTTTGAAAACATCACTTAGGAGTGCTACCCCAGAAAATCCAGAAATAGAGCTGCTTTGCCTAGAATTGGCAGAAATGAAAGAAAAATATGAAGCTGTTGTAGAAGAAAATAAAATACTGAAAAACAAAGCTTGCTCAGTGTGAACCATCTTAGAAGTGTGTTAAATAGGCTTCTCAGTTGAAAAGTTACTAAAATGGTTTTGTGTGACTTAGTTTGTGTAGTATATAACCTTTTGTAAAGAAATGCTATAGAACTTTTAACATGTTAAATTCACCTATTACACTTTGTTAAAAACACATCAATTAGAATCACCAATATAAACCTCAATATTTAAAAAGAAAAAAAATGTTTATTTGAAAAACGGAATGACAGAGAGTGGGAAAAGATTTTCCTTCTGCTTGTTCAATTTTCAAATGGCCCCCCAACAACCAGGAGCCAGGAACCCCATCCTGGTGGAGTCCTCATGGGTGGACAGGACCCAGTACTAGACCATCTCCTGTTGCTTCCCCAGGCACATTAGCAGGGAGCTGGATTGGAAGCAGAGTATCTGGGACTTGAATTGGAGTTCCAATACAGAATGATGGTGTTGCAAATAGTAGCACATGCACTTATATTTTTAAAATATTTTCTTTATTAGAAAGACAGGTTACACACAGAGACATGGAAAAACTAAATGGCCACACATCAGCTGGCACTGGACCAGACCAAAACCAGGAGCCAAGAGGGAGCCACTGCCCTCCCAGGCCACGAGTAGGGAGCTAGAAAGTAAATGGAGCAGCCAGGACGTGAACTGAACCTATATGGGTAGTGGCACTTGCAGGTGGAAAATTAGCCATTTGAGCCAAGGGCTTTATCTGTGTCTCCCATGTGGGTGCAGAGACACAAGCACTAGAGCCATCCTCCACTGCCTTTCCAGGTGTATCAGCAGGGAGCTGGATTGAAAGTGGAGCAGCTCAGATATGAACCAGTGCCTATATGGGATGCCTGTGCTGCAAGCAGTGCCTCAACCTGCTATGCCACAGTTCTGATCCTTTCATGACTATTTTAAAGTGCCCTCATATACATATATATTGTATAATGATACATCATCTTTCTCTACGGAAAATAATTTCTAATAATGTTTGTACTGCCCCGGTAAGTACTGTCTGAGGAACTCTATTGTGTAATTACCCAGAGTGCTCTACTACTTCGCCACTTGCTAGTTAGTGTATATGAGTATCCATCCGCCTGCCCTTCTATAACTAACTGCATGCTTCTGCACAAGTTGTTTGCTTTCTCACTGTCCTCAGTTGCCTCATCATTAAAACATTTTTAAGGTTTTATTTGAAAGGTACGTTGACAGAAATACACACACAGACATAACTCACACATCCACTGGTTCACTCCCCAAGTGGCCACAGCAGCCAGGGCTGGAGCAGGCCCAAATCAGGAGCCAGGAGCTCCATCCAGACCTCCCACATGGGTGGCAGGGACTGAGGTACTTGGACCATCCTCTGCTGCCCTCCAGGGGACATTGACTTTGGTAAGAAGCAGAAAGAGCAGAGAATTGAACCTGCTGCTGTCTCAAGAGGCAGCTCACCCACTGTGCAACACTACGAGTCTACTGTACTTTTTAAAAGTTCTTCCACCGTCCAGTTGTTCTAAGATTCCCTGAATGGTCGAGCTTAGGAAATGACACCTGAGCTGAAGGCGTCGGAAGTGGCCGCCTAAGCAGTTTCTTCCTGACCATCTATTTGCCCTCTTGTCTCTCTCCCCCTCATTGCATCAGGAGGAAAGCCAAGGAAAGTAAGAATTTCTTTTTCCCAAGTTGAGTCATAGAAACCAGAACCTACCCTCTTGCCATAAAACCTAAAAATATTGACTCTAACTTTCCCTTGCCTTTGTGTGTAAACTGACCATGAAGGAATTCTCAGATGTACTTTGTTTCATTGTGGATCTTAAGACCTTCATTCTAGAAGCTTTCCTACCCAGAAAAAAAGGACCACTGAATAGAAGAACCCAGAAAAATCTGGAAAGGCATTGTTGGATGTCTCCTGACTACAAGATCAGACCCTTTTTGTCTGATTATATTTCTTTTTTTTTAAGATTTATTTATTTTATTACAAAGTCAGATATACAAAGAGGAGAAGAGACAGAGAGGAAGGTCTTCCGTCCAATGATTCACTCCCCAAGTGACCGCAATGGCCAGTGCTGTGCCAATCCGAAGCCAGGAGCCAGGAGCCTCTTCCAGGTCTCCCACGTGGGTGCAGGGTCCCAAAGCTTTGGGCTGTCCTCGACTGCTTTCCCAGGCAACAAGCAGGGAGCTAGATGGGAAGTGGAGCCCATATGGGATCCCAGCGAGTTCAAGGTGAGGACTTTAGCCGCTAGGCCACACCGCCGGGCCCCTGATTACATTTCTACATGGCTTCTCATGATCTATTGAACTTAAGCTTTAAAAAATGCATAGTTCAGGGGCCCGGTGCGATAGCATAGTGGCTAAAGTCCTCACCTTGAACGTGCCAGGATCACATATGGGCACCAGTTTTAATCCCGGCAGCTCCACTTCCCATCCAGCTCCCTGCTTGTGGCCTGGGAAAGCAGTTGAGGCCGGCCCAGAACCTTGGGACCCTGCACCAGCATGCAAGACTGGAAGAGGCTCCTGGCTTCAGATTGTCTCAGCTCCAGCTGTTGCAGCCACTTGGGGAGTGAACCATTGGACGGAAGATCTTTGTCTCTCCTCCTCTCCATGTATCTGCCTTTCCAATAAAAATAAATACATCTTTTTTAAAAATGCATAGTTCAAGGTGGCTCTTCAGGTTTTCAATTTAAAGGCTTCAGTGTCCAATAAAACTGGAACCAAATAAATGTGTTCCATTTCTCTCTAGCTAGCCTGTCTTTCTGTTTGTGGGGAGGAAAGAGAACATACCTTTCTGCCCTTCTACAACTAATCGACAGAACTACTCCTCAGTGCCTGATGCAGGGTCAACGTGTAGCAATTGTTAGCTATTCCTGTTATTGTCTCAATTGATATGATTTAAATATCAAAGCAGTGCCTGCAATGTGGTGTAGTGGGTGAAGCTACATATGTAGTCCCAGCATCCCATGTGGTTATTGGTTCTGACTGCTCCACTTCTAATCCAGCCCCTGCACCCACATGGGAAAGTCAGAAGAAGCCCTGGCTCCTGGCTTCAGACAGGCCCAGTCTCAGATGTTGAGGCCATTTGGGGGTGGGGGGGTGAGCCAGCAGGTGGAAGATCTCTTTCTCTGTATCTCTTCCTTTGTCACTCTCTAACTCAGATTTCAAAGAAAAACAATTTTACAAATGTATTTATAGCAAACCATTGCATTGCATGCATTCTGCTTGCTATTTATGATAGAGCATGAAGGCATGGTTGTGGGGAGGGGACAGCATTGTGATGCAGCGTGCTGGGCCACCACCTGTGACATCAGCATTCCTATGTCGGTACTGATTCAAGCCCTGAAATGCTTCGCTGTTTCTGATCCAGCTCCCTACTGATGTGCCTGCAAAACCAGCAGCAAATGGCCCAGGTGTTTGAATTCTTGCTGCCCACATGGGAGATCTGAATAAAGTTCCTGGTTTCTGACTTTATCCTGGCCCTGGCTGTTTTAGCGATTTGGGAAATGAACCAATGGATGCAAGATCTGTTTCTCTCTGCCTCTCTCTCTTGCTATGTCACTCTGCTTTTCAAATAAATAAAATCTCTTTACAAAGTTATTTTGAAAGACTTGAACACAACAGGCCATCTTCTGCTTTCTCAAGCATATTATCAAGAAAATGTATCAGAAGCAGAGCAGGTAGGACTTGAACCATTCCTCATATGGGATTCTGATGTTGCAGGCAGCAGCATGACGCACACAACACCAGCCCTATAAAATAAAATCTTGGCCCCGTGTGCCACCCCCTCGGGAGCTGAATAGGCTGTGTTCCTCTAGGAATGTGACACAAAACCGGGTCATGGTAACAATCGCCACGTTTGCTTCCCAACTGAGCGCCCGCCAGCCCACCGCCCCCTGCCGCAGCAGCCTGCCAGCCCTCCCTCCGGGGTCAAGAACTTGCTGCCACCAGCACCATGCCCTACTCATATCCTGTGCAGAAGAAGGAGCTGTCTGACATCGCTCACCAGATTGTGGCCCCGGGCAAGGGCATCTTAGCTGCAGATGAGTCCACAAGTAGCATCGCCAAGAGGCTGCAGTCCATTGGCACGGAGAACACGGAGGAGAACCGGCGTTTCTACCGCCAGTTGCTGCTGACCGCTGACGACCGCATAAACCCCTGCATCGGGGGCGTCATCCTCTTCCACGAGACCTTCTACCAGAAGGCTGATGATGGGCGTCCCTTCCCGCAAGTGATCAAATCCAAGGGCGGTGTCATAGGCATCAAGGTGGACAAGGGCGTGGTACCCCTGGCAGGAACTAACGGTGAGACCACCACTGAAGGACTGGATGAGCTGTCGGAGCGCTGTGCCCAGTACAAGGCAGACGGAGCCGACTTTGCCAAGTGGCGTTGCGTGCTGAAGATCGGAAAACACACCCCCTCAGCCCTGGCCATCATGGAGAATGCCAACGTTCTGGCCCGTTATGCCAGCATCTGTCAGCAGAATGGCATTGTGCCCATCGTGGAGCCAGAAATCCTCCCCGACGGGGGCCATGACCTGAAGCACTGCCAGTATGTCACTGAGAAGGTGCTGGCCGCCGTGTACAAGGCTCTGAGCAACCACAACGTCTATCTGGAAGGCACCTTGCTGAAGCCCAATATGGTCACCCCAGGGTACACCTGCACCCAGAAGTATTCCCACGAGGAGATTGCAATGGCAACCGTCATGGCACTGCCCCGCACAGTGCCCCCTGCTGTGGCTGGAGTCATCTTCCTCTCTGGAGGCCAGAGTGAGGAGGAAGCGTCCATCAACCTCAATGCCATCAACAAGTGCCCCCTGCAGAAGCCATGGGCCCTGACCTTCTCCTACGGCCGTGCCCTGCAGGCCTCAGCTCTTAAGGCCTAGGGTGGGAAGAAGGAAAACCTGAACGCAGCCCAGGAGGAGTACACAAAGCGGGTCCTGGCCAACAGCCTTGCCTGTCAAGGAAAGTACACTCCGAGTGGCCAGGCCGGGGCTGCCGCAACCAAGCCCCTCTTCATCTCTAACCACGCCTACTAAGCCAAGGGTGTCCTCAGGTGGCCCCCAACCCAATACTCCAGGATCCCACCCCCTCCCTCCCAGCACACTCACTCTCAAAGAGGGTGGGGTTCCAAGCTGCATTTCCCATCACTCTTGCCTCCCTTGTGACTTTGGTGTGTGACGTTGTCTGTGTACCCTAACTCCATCGCTTTCTCCAGCCCACTGCCGATAAACAGCTGTTTAAGGGGAAAAATAAAATGAAATCATAAAAAAGAATGTGAAAGAATCTTAGCCATATTATGAACTGAGTATTTGTGTCCCCCCAAATTCATATGTGGAAGCTCGAATCCCCAGTGTAGCTCTATTTAAAGATGGGGCCTATAAAGAAGCCATTATGGTTTACTGAAGTCATAAGGGTTGTGCACTAATCCAATGCATTAATGCCCTCATAAAAAAAAGGATACCAGACAACTTGCCCACTGTCTGTCCACCTGCCCAAAGAGGTTGAATGAACCCAAAACTGAGATGTCAGCCACCTTCCAGGCCACTGAAGAGGCCTCAGAGTTTAACTTACCTCACCAAGCACCTGCAGCATACATTCCTGGCCTCTAGAAGCCTGAGAACCTAAGTGCTTCTGGCTTAAGACATGCAGCCTGTATGTTTTGTTCTGGCAGCCTGAGCAAAGACTCCTTCATCAAGGATGGGTTCTGCTAACGTCTTTCAGTAGATTGCACAGCATTTTTGTCTTAGATGCACGTTCTCAAGAGCTCTGTGACCACATATGATGTTAATGCCGGGCTTTCAGTACGGCTTGTCTCCGCCAAAGAATCCTGTGGTAAGAGTTTGGTCTCCAATGCAGCTGTATTGAGGCAGTGAGTCATTAAGGCGGGACATAGGGGAAAGTGATTGGGTCAGGAGGCCCCAGCCTCAGAAGGGATCCATGTTAGGGCTGGTGTTAAGGAGCAGCGGGGCCTACTACAGCGTGGGATGCTGCCATCCCATATCAGAGTGCGTGGTTCAAGTCAAAGCTCCCTGCTAATGTGTCTGGGAAAGCAGCAGAGGATGGCCCAAGCACCTGAGTCCCTGCCTCCCACATAGGAGACCTGGATGGAATCCTAGGCTCCTGGCTTGCACGTGCCTCAGCCCCAGCCATTGCAGACATGAATGGAAGATTCTGTCTGTCTGTCTCTCTCTCTCTCTGCCTTTCAAATACATACATATATACATACATACATACACAGATTTCTGAAAGGAGAGATAAACCCTAAGTCTCCTAGCCCCTGCTTCCCCACCCCAAATGGGAAGAGATCAATGTTCTCGAAGGACCAAGATAGGTCTCACAATAGTGGGTTGTTATAAATCAAGCCATCCCACCTATTTGGTTTCTGCTGTGTGTGGCCATTTCCCTGCCTTGCTACCTCCATGTCATGTGGGCTCTCACCAGATGCCAGCATCAAGCTGGGAGAACTTTCCAGCCAGCAGCACAGTGAGCCAAGTAAACCACTTCGTTTCATACATTATCTGTAGTCTGGATTTTATTTTTGTTTTTAATATTAATAGCAACCAAAACAGAAAACAGGGGCATAAAGGGAAAATATTAAAAATGCCTCATTGTAAGTGTTCTCTTGGGAAACCACTGAAAGCAAATTCTTTAAAACAAAGATTTTAGGCTTGACATTGTGATACAGCCTGTTGTATGGCACTGCTTACACCACCAGCATTCTCTCTCTCTCTCTCTCTCTCTCTCCCCTGCTCCCCCGTCTCTGGTGATCTACCCTTTAAGTGATTAAAGAGTAGGTTGGTTCACACCACCCTCACCACAAACAAGTAAGTCATGCATTGTGCTACGATGTTACAACTGCTATGACATCACTAGGCAAGAGGGATTTTCCGGCTCCAGTATAATTTAATGGGATCACCGTCATGTATGTGGTTAGCTGTTGATGAAAATGTTGTTTTGTGGCTTATGACTGTACTTTGAGAATCTCTGCCTCTTTATTTCACTTTCTCATTTTAGTCATGTAAGTTTTCTGCCTTAAACTTTTGAATTTAAATTTAATTTTTTTTTATTTCTATGGCAGATCGAGGAAAGGAGGAAAAGGAGGAGAGAGATATAGAGGTATCTCCCATCCATTGGTTAAATTTCCAAATGCCCACAACATCCAAGACCAGAACAGGTCAAGGTCAGGAGCCAATGGATTGGCCCTGTGGCTTAGAGGGTTAAGCCATCACCTATGGTGCCAGCATCCCATAGGGTGACTGTATAAGTCCCAGCTTCCCTGCGTCCAAAACCAGCTGTCTGTTATTATCCTAAGAAAGTGGAGGAGGATGGCCCCTGTACCCACATGGGAAACTTAGATGAAGCTCCTGGCTCCTGGCTTCTGGCTTTGGCCTGGTATAGTCCTGGATGCTGTGGCCATTTGGGGAGTGAACCAGAAAATGAAAGATTCCTCTGCAATAACTCTGCCTTTCAAATAAATAATCATTTAAAGCCAGGAGCCAGGATCTCAGTTCAGATCACCTGCAGGGGTGGCAGGAACGCAAGAACTTGAGCCTTTACCTGCTGCTTCTCAGGATTCCCATCAGCAGGAAGTTGGAATCAGAAGCCGAGACAGGACTGAGACCAGGCATTCTGATATGGGATGTGGATGTCCCAAACGGCACCCTGACTACTGGCCCAAGCGTCGGCCCCTGCACTAACACTTTTAAGGCTCTTAAAATCAGTAATTGCTAAACTTAGAAACCTTTACACTAGCAAGTTTTCCACAGTGCAGACCCCCTAGTAGAACAACTGAAAATTGCTACAAGTCCTAAGAATTTCTTTCAAAAAATGCAAATGCTTGTGTTCATATTAATCTTAAACTGTGTATGATACAGAATTACAAGAAATGGAAAGTGTTTAATATGGTTAAAAATTATTTTAATCCGTAATATGGGGTTTCAGGGCCAATGCAGTGGCTTAGTGGGGCTGGCATTCCATATGAGCACTGGTTTGTGTCCTGACTGCCCTATTTCTAATCCAGCTTCCTGCTTATAGCTTGGGAAAGCAGCAACCACATGGAAGACTTGGAAGAAGCTCCTGGCTCCCAGCTTCAAATCAGCTCAGCTTTGGCCGTTGTAGCCACTTAGAGGAATGAATCAGTAGATGGAAGATTCTCTCTCTCTCTCTCTTTCTCTCTCTCTCCTCTCCTTTTCTCTCTGTAAAACATGACTTTCAAAATAATAAATACATAAATAAGTTTTAATTAATAAAAAATCCTTACCTTTCTAGATGACCATTTTTTTCATTTTGCAATTAATAGGTAGATTTTAAAAATATTTTTAAAATTTATTTGAATTTCAGAGTTACAGAGAGATAGAGACAGAGATCTTCCAGCCGTTTGTTCATTCCCCAAATAGCTGCAACGGCCAGGGCTAGGCCAGGCCAAATCCGGGAGTTAAGAACGCTATCCAGGTCTCTCACATGGATGGTAGGGTTCTGAATTCTTGGGCCATGTTCTGCTGCTTTCCCAGATGTGTAAGCAGGGAGCTGGATTGGGCACAGAACTGCTGGAAATTGAACCAGTATTCTGATATGGGAGGCCAATGTGACAAGCAGTGATTATGCATGATACAGCCCAACACCAACCCCATAGTGGACAGATTGGTCAAGTTTAATACAACAATCTCTGTGCCTTAGTATTTGTAGAATCTAAGGGAAATCTAAGCTGCGTTAAATTTTTTTCCCCCATTTATATCTTCACCAAAAGACAGGTGTTTCACAGTAGACAAAAGCTTTGCAATCTGAGCTCAGTCTAGCTACACAATATCAACTGTGTATTCCATATATAGAATTGTGCAATGTATGTAGAAGTGGAAGATCTATCTATCTAGCCAGGTTTTTGCCGTTTCCTTGGAAACAGGAGTGCATGGACAGCAAGGTGGAAAGGTGCTGGGGCAGCGGGGGAGATTCTCTAACCAGTAGGCTTTGCAATGGGATTTAACGTGCAGATTGTGTATTAGAGAGCGTGTGGTTCTTGTCAATGCGTGTGGGAGGTAGAGGGGGAGACAGGACTGTCAGAGGGACCAGCTGAGCTGTTTTGCCATCCCAAGGTCACCCCTGACTGAAGGAAAGCTCTGGAACATGGTTGGCACATCAGCGATCTCCCAAAGTGGGCTGAAAGCTCTTGTAATGCCGCATTGATGGATTCAGAGACGTAGGCTGCTCTGAGAAGGACATGTCCTTGCACATGCAAGCTCTTGGCAGCTGATGCCATCACTCAGGGAGCTGACAGCTGAAGCCTGTGTGCCCACAGCCTTCCCAGCTGCCGAGCCCACAAGCCCTTTGAAAGGAGATCTTGCTGGCATATGACAGCATGTATCCTAGATGGGTGGGTGTTAAATGACACCTGAGGACAACCCCCCACACCATGGTCAGCTTGCATTTGATCAGAAAGGCCTTATTGTGCAAGGCGACTGTTCATCTAGCTTGTTTCTCACCAATGCACACTCAGAAGCTTGGCTAATGCGCAGAATGAATACCTTATTTTGTTCTTGACAGGAAGTGGGATAAGTTGGGTAGTTTGGTTAAGGAGGTGACCACTCAGTGGTAGTTCTTGTGTGTGTAAGACTCATCTCTTGTCTAGGGGGCTACACTTGGGGGTATATTTGACCCTATAACCCTCTAAGATAGATGAGTTGCTTCTTGGCCATCATGTCTTGAGATTCATCCACATTAAAGTTGGGAAAGCCCCACTTGCAGGAACCAGGGAACTTGAACGTGGGTCCTTTGTAGGACCTCAGTCACCTGTTCCTTATTCTGTGTCCTGGTGCATTTGGTATAATGACTCGGCCCATGTGAAACCCTGGCTACCAGGCCTTTGGAGCTTGTCACATAGCTGCAGGAAACCTTGCAGCACAGCACAAGGTTAGAAACCTGAAAGTTTGTTGCAAAGGGCTGTCTCCAAGGTCCCTTTAGACCAAGCTATAGAAACAACAAGCTGTGTACACTCTGCAGGAAGTTGCCATTTGCCCCACCAGGACAAAAAGAAAAGCAGCCC